TTGTCCATTTCATATTATAGACAATTGATAAGATACTGCAATTAATATTTTTTTTATCTAATTTTTCCTGTGTTTGTGTAAGTATTGTCTTTTCTAAACGTAAAGTGTGTAAAAATTATCCAAATGCGTTTTCGGCAATTCTTTTAGCCATTATCAAGGGTAATTTTTATTTTATTTTTAGCTGAGTGGATGGATTTTTTATGTATATATCACGAGTTATAGGAACCTATAGATACAATTTTCATCTTTGATTAAAAACCAAGTATAGATCCTTATTGTTTATCATTTTATTTAATTATACGTATTTCAAAGAACTGTTTCGATTTCCGATCGGTATTGGCAAATAAAATTTCTCATGTCTTTGTACTTTCGACTAGTACTAGCCATTTTCAAAGACATTCATTGTCTTTGATATCGACCGTAACTCAGGCATAACCTGGCTTACGTGACAACTGTCCTTCATTACGTCAGCGAATCTTGGAAGATTTCCTCAAAGATGAAGAAGAGACTCGAGGCGACAGAGATGTGGTTCTACAGAAGATGCTAAGGATATCGACCGTGTGAGCAACGATGAGGTCTTGTAGAGGATGCAAACAAGGAGAAGGCTTATACTTAACATCAGGAAGAGGCAGCTGAAGATTCTTGGACACATAATGAGGAAGTAGGGCCTGGAGAATCTAATACTCATGTGTCGAATAGAGGAAAAGAGAGACAAGGGAAAACAATTCGTGACATATCTGGCGGGCTTAAGCAAGTGGATGACAGAACGTGGTCTGGAGGAGGATGCAGAGGGAGATAACTTGTTGAGCGCTGCAAGGGATAGTGGGAGGTGGAGAGCCATGATCGCCTACGTCCTGAAAGGACATGGCACATAAAAAGAAAGAAGGCGGTTATAATTTTGAACGAGAAACAACATGTAATATTAAGTTGTAGGAACACAAATTCAGAAATTTCAAAACTGATTACGTTTGCAAACTTATATTAGGTTGGTGCAAAAATAATGTCGTTTTTGACGTTAAGTTGAACGGCAAAAAACGACATTATTTTTGCACCAACCTAATATCTATATCTATAATTCTCAAGTTGTGTGTGTGTGTGTGTGTGATCGGATGTTGTTTATGCATTTCCACAGTTTTCATCCGATTTTGATTTTTTTTTTGTGCGGTAGATAATTCTTCAGTGGCGGTATTAAGTTCAAATTGTTGGCGACAATGGCTCTCCACTACTTCCTGTACATTATAACTCTCAGCAACCTTTTACTATTTCCTATATGTTCTTGGATATATATCTTTCATAAAAAAAAACTTCAATAAAAATAAATAGTTTAAATTATTACAATAATATTATTTATTTTTATACAGTCCCCTTTTCAAGGACACCCCCATTCAAATTGTTACCCCCCCCTTTGGGGGATGTGCCTCAGTTGCACCCAATTGTTGTTACTAATATTGATTTTCGGGTGGGCTGACTTTAAACTTAAACTGCTCCAATTGAGCGGAAAAAATTCCCAGTAATAAAAGAACCGGTCAAAGACGGGTTAGACTGCTAGTTAAAAATAAAATATCAATAATTTTACTATATATATATATATATATATGAAGAAAAATATATGGAAAAACAAACAAAAATCCTAATATGCAATTATGCTGTTTTAATGTTAATATAATGTCAACGTCGGACGTTTCGGTCTAGTCGACCATCTTCAGGACATATTCATAAAACATAATTAACATTAGACTATATTTAATTCAACATGAAAAGACGATGGACATAAGAGTAAGACTAATCAAAACAGACAACTGAAATTTTTCAAGAACAGCGTTCCGTTTCAATATGATCACGTCAGCGATGCTGTGAAACATACATATAGTTATTTTCCAAGTATAGCTTAGATGTGGCACAAGGACGAAAGTATGGGGCATCTAGTGAGGATCGAACTCACTTTTCAGTTGTAACTGATCTAGCGAGACAAGCTCGCTAACCATTACACCACGCCGAGGTGCCCATGAAACATATATATATATGTGTGTGTGTGTATGTTTTTGATGGACACACCTTTCATTTCATCGTACAATCTCAAACCACCAACATACATTATTGTAAATATTTCTTATGAAAACCAATCTTATAAGCTGAAATTTATGTGGTATGTTTATCATAAAAACGTAAATGGGCCCATCTCTTCTTTAATATTGATTTTGTTGTGAAAATATTTACTTGTATAATCAGAGTTGACAATGGAAATATTAGAAAAATCTTCATATCTCTCTCTGTATTCTGTCTGCATATGTAGGTGTTTATGCGAGTGTGACGGTGCATGTTTGCAATTTCTGAGAAAACTCAAATTGAAAAAAAAACAAAGAAACAAACAAACCGTAACGTATCATTTTTTTTGTGTCAATGCAACATGACTTTTAAAGATGACATTCGTGTGACAGAGACATCCATTTTTTTTTTACGTGCAAATGTTTTTTATGAGTTATATTTTAAATAGAATTTTTGAATTCAGTTTTCTGAAAACTAATGCTTAATATGCAATAATCATTCCTCAATTGTCGTAGGGACTGAAGAAGTATCCCCGCCTCTCTCTCTCTCTAAATTATTCTCTCTCTCTCTCTAAATTATTCTCTCTCTCTCTCTAAATTATTCTCTCTCTCTCTAAATTATTCTCTCTATCTAAATTATTCTCTCTCTCTCTCTCTCTAAATTATTCTCTCTCTCTCCCTAAATTATTCTCTCTCTCTCCCTAAATTATTCTCTCTCTCTCCCTAAATTATTCTCTCTCTCTCTAAATTATTCTCTCTCTCTAAATTATTCTCTCTCTCTCTCTCTAAATTATTCTCTCTCTCTCCCTAAATTATTCTCTCTCTCTCCCTAAATTATTCTCTCTCTCTCTAAATTATTCTCTCTCTAAATTATTCTCTCTCTCTCTCTCTCTCTAAATTATTCTCTCTCTCTCTCTAAATTATTCTCTCTCTCTCCCTAAATTATTCTCTCTCTCTCTAAATTATTCTCTCTCTCTAAATTATTCTCTCTCTCTCTCTAAATTATTCTCTCTCTCTCTCTAAATTATTCTCTCTCTCTCATTTACTCTTTCTCTCTGTATCCGCACGTGTACCCGCGTGTGTGTGAGTCCCGTAACTCATTATGTTAGTGCGTGTACGACGTTTACACAAGTTGCATGTCTAAATTCCACCCCTCTTCATGCTGGTTTTGAATTCAATATTTTCCTTCTCCTAGACTGGTTGTCATCTCAAGACAAGAGAATCCACTGAGTTTTGTTATTTAACCCACAGCTGGAGGGAATAGTCATGAATTCTTACCTTTCGCGAGGGTAGTTGTGCGAAAGTGTAGACCAGAACTCGAACATGGACTGCTGTTTTCTCTTTATACATTCGCTTACCGCTACACGAACCGGATGTCGAGGTTTTTTTTTTTTTTTAAATCTTACTATGTGTGCTATTAATAGATGCAATAAACTAATAAAATTTTCGAAATTGTCAACTTCGAGGTTTGAAAAATATTTTCATGTACATTCATTACTATAATGGTCATTTTCTTACCTTCAGGTCGGCTAGGCGAAAAGTTGTCAACCTGACTACGATGGAATAAAAAAAAAGGATTACTTAGATTTTAAGAAGTGGCTTCAACCGAAAACATTTCAGCATCAATTCATGAATCTCGTATATATAGAAAAGAGAAATATTGATTTGTTTTTTACGGTTTATCAACCGTTTGTGGCTTATTTAAAACCGAAATATACTTTGGATTGTAAGAATATATCTGTTTTTTTACGAGTGTATACTGAATTTACAATTTTTTTTTTTAGAATAAAGATGATTTTTCCAGATATAAGGCTATTATTAAACCCATATCTGTGGAGAAGATAGATTTATACCTTTTCCAAAAGGAATTGCATGCAAATAAATGTAATGAACTTGACCAGAATTCGGACTTCGCTCTCCGAGTTTCAAATCCGAACCGCTATGCCTCCACCATCCGCATTTCCGTGAGAAAATGACATTTATATATTATTATAAAAAGTATTTAGAATTCAAGTGTGTACAAAAAATACCCTGTATCAACCAATCAAGCGTCGACATAAAATGTCACCTTTCAAAGTCAATCTTGTCATTTCTGTGCAAAAAAGAAATGTCATTTTTTCTTTTAATTTTTGCTGTTTCTGTCAGTTCGAGCTGATAGACATTCGTTATTAGAGAAATGACTCAGGTAATATGTATATTTTAAATAAAATTCAATTTTACTTTCAACCTTTTCTATTCGTATTTATAAAGTTCTTTCTAGCAATGATAACAGTGCAGAAGGTTAAACTGTGACACTATGTGAGACTGATGGAATTAAAGGGGTGAATATAAACATGTGAGGGGAGAGAAAAAGAGAATATGCAGAGACCGGCGTCCAGGAGGAAATCACTAATGTATATTCCGGATTATACACTAACCGTGGTAATTAAAAAAAAAGAATTAAGTTATGGCCATCAACAAAAAATAGAAATTACGGTTGTCAGACCAAAGGGCCAAAGGGTCAAGGGGTCATCTGAAATATAATTGTGGAAAAATAAACAACTTGGGAGACAAAACTTAATTTCTCACCCGAAAAAGAAAATTGAGATGAGAAACGAAACTATAACGTCTGCATGACAACACGTGGGTTGTGGGAATGAGATGACTGGTTGTGGGAGTGATTTGGCTGGTTGTGGGAGCGAGTTGACTGGTTGTGGGAGCGAGATGACTCATTATGGGAGCGAGTTGGCTGGTTGTGGGAGCGAGATGTCTATGGGAGCGAAATGACTGTTTATGGAAGCGAGATGACCATTGGAGCGAGTTGGCTGGTTGTGGGAGCGAGTTGACTGGTTGTGGGAGCGAAATGATTGTTTGTGGGAGCGACTTGACTGGTTGTGGGAGCGAGAAGGACCGACGACGGTACAGGTCAGCGTATGTTTGGCCCTTTGGTCTGACAACCTGTGGTTGTTTCGTCATCTTACGACCTTGAGCACCGGACTGCGGGCGTGGCTATGTCTTCTGGTATATGCGGCTTGTGGCAGTGGCCATAATATCTACTGGTGCAACCCAGGTTTGACCAAAGATCAACTGGGGCGTGCGTGTTATAAAACAAGTACAAACTTTTTTTTTTCTGAGTAAATATGTTTTTTTTTACTTATTTAGAATTTCAATCGAATATATACAAATTTTTTGGTATGCCTCATCCTTGCCTCGTGAAACGATGATAGCATGATTCTGTTCAGTATTTTTGTCTACTTTGGGAGATAGTTTGTCAAAAAGAAACAATAAAAAAACCAAAAAAAACATCTTATTTTCCCATAATTAAAATAATCTCTCTCTCTCTCTCTCTTTCTCTCTCTCTCTCTCTCTCTAATACACTCTTTCAAGGTTTTTTTTTCTCCCCCCCTCTCTCGCTTGCATGCTTTAAACCTCTCTCTTTCTCTTTCTGGCCAGTATGCTTTAAGGCTCTCCCCCCTCTCTCTCTGTCGCCTGCTTTAAAGCTCTCTCTCTCTATCTTTCTCGCTCGTATGCTTTAATTTCTCTCCCACTTTCTCTCTCTCTCCCTCTTTCTCTCTCTCTCCTTCTTTCTCTCTCTCCCTCTTTCTCTCTCTCTCGCCTGCTTTAAAGCTCTCTCTCTCTATCTTTCTCGCTCGTATGCCTTAAAGTTCTCTCCCCCTTTCTCTCTCTTCCTCTTTCTCTCTCTCTATCTTTCTCTCTCTCTCCTTCTTTCTCTCTCTCCCTCTTTCTCTCCTTCTTTCTCTCTCTCCCTCTTTCTCTCTCTCTCCTTCTCTCTCTCTCTCTCTCTCTCTCCCTGTCTTTATTAAGAAAATAAAAAAAGGTAATTTCTTTTCTCTTAGTTTTATTTTTTTTTACATTTATTGTTTCTTTTCCTTTAAATTTCGTCGCATTTGAAGAAAGTATTTATTTTTTCTGATTGAAGCTCTTTTTGCATTTGACAGTTTGGAAAGATTATGATCATTGCAAGACACGCACACGTTCGTTTGTGGCTCACAAAAATGACATTGAATATTTTAAAGAAGAAACATTGATAAGAAGATAGATAATGAACAAATGGAAATATATATATATATATATATATATATATATATATATATATAGATAGATAGATAAATAGATAATATTAGTGGTAAATATACATACATATGCAAAATATATAAATACCCATACATGTATATTTTTTGAATAAAAATTCCAAGAGGATAGAATCCAGGTAGAACTCAATGTCCAATTATACAGCGGCCCTTTCAGTAAATGTCGTTCAAGTTTACTTTCCTTCGTCCATCTTTCTCCCCCACCTCGTCTTCCCCCCCCTCTTATTCTGATCTTCAACATTAGATCGTCTATGGTGTGTGTATGTCACCACGAAATGTATCTTTATGCATTAGACATCCGACAACATTCATATTTCTCTTACTTAAATCCCTTCCACTCTCCTCTCTTAAAATTCTCTCTGTTAAGGTTTAATCCCCCCCCTTCTCTAGTCTGTTACCCCTCATACATACACTCTCTCTAAATTCTGTTTTTATTTCCGGAGTTGTTTTTTCTGTTTTCTTTTGGAATTTGTAGGTCTGATGAATTGGATCGTATTTACGATTCCAATGAAATAAATTATGACCATGGAATATTAGTGTTTAAGCCTTCTTATTATATATATATATATATATATATATATATATAGATAGATAGATAGATAGCTAATGAATAGATGGGGATATATATATATATATATATATATATATATATATATATATATATATATATATATAGATAGATAGATAGATAGATTGATAGATAGATAGATGGGTTAATATGGCGACGTTTAAAAAGGAAAAGTGAAATAGTTTGAAAGGAACAAGTTGACCGAGAGAGGGAAAGGAAGAGGGCAAAGAGAGAGAAAGAGAGAATACCAGTTCGAAAACATGCAAGAAAGAACGAGAGAGATAGTGAGAAAGAGAGAGAGAGAGAGAGAGAGAGAGAGAGAGCTTAAAAGTATGCGTGAGAGAGAGAGAGAGAGAGTAGGAGAGAGTTTGCAATCATGCGTGAGAGAGAGAGGGGAGAAAGAGAGAGAAAGAAACAGAGAACTTGAAAGCGTGCTCACGCACGCTCACAAGAGAAAGAGAGAGCTTGAAAGTATGTGTGTGTGTGTGTGTGTGAGAGAGAGAGAGAGAGAGAGGGAGAGATAGAGAAAGTGAGTTTGAAAGCATGCGTGTGAGAGGGAGAGGGAAAAGGAGCTTGAAAGTATGCATGAGTGAGAGAGATAGAGACGGGGAAATCTTGATATATTCGCGAGAGGGAAATTAAATCTTGAAAGGATGCGAAAGAGATAGATAGATAGATAGATAGATAGATAGAGAGAGAGAAAGAGAGAGAGAGAGCTTGAAAGCAGGCGTGCGAGAGAAATAGAGAAAAGAGAAAATGAAAATCAGAAAGAGAAAAATGAGAGCTTGACAGGAAGTGAGATAGAAAGAAAGAAAGAAAAAGTGACGACGACCTTTCTTTATATCTTTCTTTCTAGAAAGAGACAGAGAGAAAGAGGGAGGAAGTGATAGATGCCGTTATCTTTTATCTCTAGAAAAAGAAAGAAAGAGAGACAAGAGGAGAGAGAGTTAGAGGGTGAGAGAGAGAGAGTGACTAAGTAACGAAAACTATTCTCATGGCAGGAAAGAAGAATCAAATCTAATTTCTTCTTCTTTATACCGTGTCCCTTCAAGCCGTGGGCCACCATGTCTCTCAATAACAACAATAAAAAAGGTTCTAATTGTTTGACACAAGCCCAGATAAATATGGCGGATGAAGTAAAACACACCAAGCGAAATTTCCAATTTTTTTTTTCTGTATTTTCCTTGCTGTATGTAACCTTGCGTTTTCACAGAGGAGAAATCCACTGTGTACGCTGCCACTATTTTGCAAAACTAAAGTATTTTAGCATGCTCCAAAAGTATTCTTAAATGCCAGGTACAATTGATAGTGAGGATGAGATATTCTTCATGACAAGTGGTCCCGCACCAAAAAAAAAAAAAAAAAAAAAAAAAAGAAAAGAAAACTATTTATAACCCAACCTAATAATTTTTGAAAAAAACATTTCTGGAAATTAAGTGAGGCTTGCACAAATAAAACTTTAAGACTCTTCTTCTTTCTTTTTATATGCCGTGTCCTTTCAGGACGTAGGCGTTCATGGCTCTCCACTTCCTCCTATCCCTTGTAGCTATCAATAGGTTTCGTCCCTCTGCACCCCCCACCACGTTCTGTCATCCACTTGCTTAAGCACGCCAGGATACCATGCGTTGCGTTCCCTTGTCTATTTTCCCCTCTATTCGACTTGTGAGTATCGGATTCTCCAAGCCCTCCTTTCTCATCACGTTTCCCAGAGCTGCCTCTTTCTGATGTTAAGTATAAGCCTCCTCTTTGTTTGGATCCTCTACAAGACGTCATGATATCCTCAGCATACCTCTGTAGAATCGCATCTCCATCTCCTCGAGTCTCTTCTTCATCTTTGAGGAAATCATCCAACATTCGCTGCCTCAGTATTCTTTTCTTTGTTACCAAAGAGATCCTCCTGTCTCGTAGTACTCTGCCCAGCTTTTGGAATGCGTCCTTGGCCATCCCAATACGCCTACGGATCTCAGTGTCGCACTTATCATCCTCTGTCAAAATACTTCCCAGATATTTAAATTTCCGCACATGTTTGATTTTATTGTCCCCAACCTGTAAATCGCATTTCAGTCTCATCCTCTTACTGATGACCATGCATTCTGTCTTCTTGCAGTTTATGCTTAGTCCCTTCTTCTCGCTCTCCTTCGCTAACTTCTACAAGAGGTTTTGTGGTTTCTTTTCCGTGTCTGCAATCAGTACTGTGTCATCTGAGTATCTTACGTTGTTAACGTTGTGGCCGCCGATGCTGAATCCCGGTGGGATTTCTAATTCTCTCATAATTGCCTCAATGTTTCATCATGTTTAAATATATATTTTAACCTCGGCTAATAAAAAAAAACTTGCGAAGAATATACTGTTTAACAATGTAACACTACAATTAATCTGGCGTTATGGTGAATAATTGACTATAAATATCTTTCGATGGTGATTACATTCAATCAGCAGCATCCTGCAAATTGCTGTTGTAACTAAACCAAATAAATCTATATATAAAATTGTGTGAATTCCGTTTGTCTGTCACACCTAAAATAGCCATACATTGTCCGATCGAAACCAAATTTAGGAGAGAAGTGAGAGCAGGTAAGTGGGGGGATACAAACTACAATATTAATTCGTTTTTTAATATAAGCTTACGTAAGCTACCTAAACTAACTTAAATTAGTTGTTTAGAGGGGAAAAATCGATTTTGATTACTTTTTAAGGGTTTTCTTAACTTTGCAAATATCAATGATTTTCTAAGAAGAATCCATTTTCCTGTTCGTCCTGCGTTTGTGGGAACTATAAATAAATCACAAAGATAGACGCTTCTAAAAGTTGGGATTTGTCTCAGGAAAAATAATATTTACGAATGGTCAGTTGTATGTTGCATGCTCAAGAATAAGAAATCCTAAGAATTTATTCTTCGCTGTTAAAAAGGAAAAAAAAATTCTTAGAAAATATTATCATAAAGACCTATAAAATTAATTTTAAAAAATTATTAAACCGCATTAGGGCTATTGTCAAAGTAATTTTCAAACAAATCAGGTTATTCAAATTTCATCAGTTTGGTTTGCGAAATTGAATGAAACGTTAGTCAGTTATGTTAGTCAGTTATACATGATACACCCTTAGGTAATCATGATTTTTTCCCTGCAATAGGTTGCCATTTCTTTCTGCGGTAGACCAGTTGCCATCCAAAGCTATAGAACCCGGTCTGTCCTGCTTTTTACCCATAGCTGTGGGAACCATAGCTCGGGGGAAGTTTGTAAATCTCGACAAATTTTAAATATTGTGATGATTTTGAACACACGTTTGGCGTGTTG